CTAGTTCCTAATAGCTTCTTGTTACTACTAGTAAGGCACTTGTTACTGATTCTAGACCATTGAATCCGTGCTGAAAGTATCTCGAAGTTGCTTTGGGTTCCATTTGTTACCATTGAGGCATGGCGAAGGTATAGCCGCATCGTATAGCGGCATTGCTTGGTATCAATTTATTCCACGGCAAATTGATAGGATCCCCTGGAGCCAGACTGTTTATAGTTTATACAGATTGTATCACCCCTCATGCAATCAAAATACGCATGTGAAGCTATGCATGTAGAGTGGAGCCTTGCATGATTCGGTGGCCCCTTGCAAGGCGATGAGCTAGGTATGTCCGGACACCTGTATCCTTCGCGGCAAGCCATATGAGGGCGAGGCCGTTGTGTACTTGCGAGTCGTGGTCAGTGGCAAAGCGACCACTAGTGAGCCAGCCAAGCTTTGATGATTGAAGGATATTATATCATATATTATCGGTTGAAAAGCTTTCGTAGCTACAATAATGACGGTGGTCAAAACCGAGTCCACTGTCCAGACCCTTCTGGCTTATGAACCCATCATAGGATCGGGCTGCTCCAAAGCTGTTGTTTTAAGTGTGAAAGAGTGGAGTTGCGATATGTCGGGGTTGGTAGGTTGGCCAAAACTATGCAACAGTTTGTCAACTCACCGGCCAGAGGAATTTAAATCATTCGACCTACGTCCAAGACTCCAGGATCAGTAAATCAGATAGACTGCAACCTTTTTGTTATTTTATTGTCCTCTCGGAAATGGTAATAATGGTATGAGTATGAATCGAGTCTAGATCCCGTTAGCATCCTTGCCTTCTAGATTGGTTACCTTGAAGTTTCTGATGCTCAATGTTTGATGAATTAACTTTGTGTCAAACTTGGCTTCCTTTTTTGCTGATCAAGGACTGGAAGAGCTGGAGCGCCCAGCGACACATCAGAGGCGCGGGGCATCGTGCGGGACTTTGGCGAGTTGGTAGGAGCAAAGGGGAGTCTACTACGAAAGTATATGTAACTGTATTGGATCCGCTGGATTTGGGTTGGGCAGTCAGCAGCAGCTTTGGATGGACCAATGGCTGCAGCCCGATGACATAACCTGATTCCACGGGTTGGTGGTCAGGAGAAAGTGGATGCGTTTGCAGATTATGCGGTGGTGGAGGCTCACTGATGGGCTTCTTCATTTGTGCAGTCAGTTGCAAGATGTGTTTTTTTGGGAAGAAGCCATGCCAGGATGCATCCACTTGTCACCAGAATGCAATTTTGCAGAATCCCTTGCATTCTTCCACATTTTACAAGGAGAAGGGAGGAACGTCATCCAGCCCCTTGTATGTCCAAACTACTTCACATCGGCTTTCAATGCCTGCTGTAGAGTATCCTTGGCCTTGAGCCTCAAAGAAGTCCACAACTGGTTGAAAGTTAAATATCACGAAAGGTAGCCTGGTAAGGACTACCTTGAGTTTGCTTTGCGAAGCAAAGGGACTGGCTTGAGAGCTTGCTCGGGACTAAAGATTGGTAGATCAATATCTAACACCCCCACCCCCCCCCCCTTCCCATGTGATGAATC